CGAAGACAACGGGGTTTGGTATTACCCGACAGTGAGCGGCACAGAGCCGGCAGACAAAGAGAAAGGGGTTTGGTATGTTCACCCCTTATGAGGCAGCCTTCGGTCTAGATGACCTGGATGATCCTGGATGCGATGATTGGTCCCATATCCGCCCGTGGCTGAGATATCGATGAGGGTTATGTTGTACTGATGGGCGGTATGGATGAGATGGACTGATCCAGTGATGATGAGACGTGCAGGCCAGGATTGAGACTTGGACTGCTAGACCAGACCTAGTGATGGGGTCAGGTCTAAGATTGAGGATCGATCATGATGATGCATGAGGCCAAACCTAATGAAAGGTTTGACGTGAAATTGAGGCTGATTCAGTGATGCAAGGGAACGGGATTGTTAGTATGATTGGGCTGCATGAGCAGTCAGGATACTTGCGTGCGGTGACTACACCACGCAAGTCTGATAAGGTAAATTCCTTCTTGATTTTGATGCTGGCTTGGACCAGTGGTCCATGCCTTATTGAGTGAGCACTCAAGCCCTAGCGGGCGAGCACCCTGATGATTGGGGATATAGTCTATATGATACCCTTGTATATCAAATAGCATACAAGGCCGCATAGCTCGAGTTGGCATATGAAGAACAGCGCAAGTATGAGGCACAAGCGATGGTTGGGCGGCGCAGCCTGGTGGGCGATGGGCGGTTCTGGTGCGCGTGGCAACGGCGGTGGCCCAGGGCGAGGCGGCTATGACAGGACGGTGAGGTAGCGGGGAGATGGTTGAGTAGAGGAAGAAGGGTGGTATGGTGAAGGGTATGATTGAGAGGGCGGATCGAAACGTGGAGGCCGAGAGCCGTAGCGCTGCTCGTATTTATATGCATAGTACATCATAGACATAGGCGACGGCGTGCGCTCGCGCGGGTCCTCTGAGCGATGGTGCAAGCTCGTTCCTCCCCATCTCACCTCCTCCTCCTCCTCTTCGGATCTCTCCCCTTCGTATGTCAGATCGATCAGTCGATCTGGTGCCTTCCCCTGCCGACCCCCTCTCCCACGTCCAGCGCCCGAGCCTCGCGTCTTTGGCGTCATGGCAAAACTGATTATCTGCGCGGTGATAAGAGTTGCGCAACGATAAGCGCTGCACGACGATGAGCGCCAGTGCGATAAAAGCGCAAGCAAATCGAGAACAATGAGGGGAGCGGTAATAGCAAGATCGTAATAGCGCCGCGCACTCGACGATATGAAATCGAGTGCGAATGACGAGAATGAGTAAGCTATTAGGCCTTTATAGTGGCCTGAACCTGGCGAGGACGCCAGGAATGGGGTTTAATATGGTTGTCGGAAGATGATGCGGCGCAACGGCGCAAATTGACTCGCCGCGGTCAACTCCCGCGCTGCGTTAAAATTGCGTCCGCAGTCATGGTCAAGCTGGACCCTAATGCATCGATTAGATTTCCCCTGGGCCGAAACTGAGGGAAAGACGGCGCGACGGTACGGTCCCCTAGAGACCTGATCTTCCTCGTTGGACTGGACCGACACGACCGCAATGGGTCAATTAGTGGGGTCCAGTCCAAACGGCACTTGAAACAGACCAAGGGTTAGCGAGATAATTAAGATTGACCGGTTGGGACCGGACCGACACAACCTCGTAACCTGGCCAAGAAAGGAACAGCCCTAAGTAAGCCATATAGATGAACAGCCAGGCCCGAATAATTAAAATAGGGTCATGTGCTATTTTTAGCACGGGACAGAATGTTCGTTTTCCAGAATCGGGCCTGCACGAGTCCCGTTCTAAAAACCCCACGCTATTTTTAGCGTGGGACCAACTGTTCATCTACCCGGGACTGGGCCTACGCTGGTCCCATTCTAAAAATAGGACTGACTGTTCATATCCCGAGGTCGGGACTGCTGCTATTTTTAGCACAGGCCTGGTCTAGAGTTTGACCACAGCCCCGACCATAGGACTGCAGCACTCAGCCACGATCCCTTGGCCTCTCCATTATAAAAGAGAGGCCACGTCACCCAAGGGGACAGATCAGCATGCGTGGCGCACGCGGCTGGAGCACTTCAGCCCTGACGGAACGGCAAGAGGCGGAGAGCATGAGTCAAAGATCACCGACTTGGCAGCAGGAGTAAGAGAGGAGCGCGGAGCAGGAGGCAAGAGAGTCGAGCGGAAAGCAAGCCAAGGAAGGGATAAGGAAAGGGGGGGGGCAAGACAGGCCTCCCACTTTCCCTTTCTCATTCCTTTTCTTCTCTCTCTTCTCATCTTCCCTTTCACTCCCTCTTCTTCCCAACCACCTTTATTTCCCTTTCACTCAGCCTCCGTGAGCTGTGTACGTGCAATATCTGATCTGAAAGCACTTGCCTAAACTTTGTATCTGATTGGTCATAAACTCTGAGCTCACACGCTATATCTAAGGGTCGCGATCAAACTGTGTGCTTGGGCACACTTGAGAGTTGAAACCGAACTGTGTCTGCGCACACTGTATTTAAGGGCAACTTTTGACTATGTCTGCGCAGCTGTATTAGGCACCGAGGAAACAAGCCGATTTTTGAGACTGCCAGCGCAGTCCCTCTGAGTAAACAAGCCGATTTTTGAGACTGCCAGCGCAGTCCCTCTGAGTAAACAAGCCGATTTTGAGACCAGCGCAGTCCCACTAGTAAAAAACGAGTTGATTTTGAGACTGCCAGCGCAGTCCCGCTGAGTAAACAAGCCGAATTTGAGGCTGCCAGCGCAGTCATACCGAGTATCAAGACAATTTTGAGACTGTTAGTGTTGTCATACCGAGTAATAAGCCGAATTTGAGACTGCCAGCGCAGTCATACCGAGTATCAAGCCGATTTTGAGAATGCTAGTGCAGTCATACCGAGTATCAAGCCGATTTTGAGACTGCCAGCGCAGTCACGTTGAGTAACAAGTTGATTTGGAGACTGCTAGCGCAGTCGCACCTAGTATCAAACCGATTATGAGACCACCTGTGCAGCCATACCAAATACTAAGCCGATTCAGACTTTGTTTTGCGCAGTCACACCAGGCAGATCGCACGGTCACATTGCGCATTTCGTTGTGCGCAACATGCGCACTACACTTGAGAGCGATATTTGAACAGTGCGCTGTTCGCACCATGCTGTGCGCTGTTCGCAGCATGCTTTAGGGCCATATCTGAGGGCCATATCTGAACAGTGCGCCGTTCGCACCATGTTGTGCGCTGTTCGCACCATGCTTAAGGGCCATATTTGAGGGCCGTATCTGAACAGTGCGCCGTTCGCGCCATACTTGAGAGTCATTTCTGAACAGTGTTATTCGCAAGTGCTATTTCAGAATAGTGCCATTTATGAACAGTGCTATTCGCAAAGAGTCATTTCTGAATAGTGTTATTCGCAAGTGCTATTCAAAACAGTGTCATTTCTGAACAGTGCTATTCACAAAGAGTCATTTCTGAATAGTGCTATTCGCAAGTGCTATTTCTGAACAGTGCCATTCACAAGTGCTATTCTGAACAGTGCCATTTCTGAACAGTGCTATTCGCAAAGAGCCATTTCTGAATAGTGTTATTCGCAAGTGCTATTTCTGAACAGTGTCATTTCGCAAGAGACATTTCTGAGCATTGTGCTATTCATCAGGGTCATTTCTAAGCATTTTGCCATTCGTCAGGACTATTACTGAGCATTGTGCTATTTGTCAGGGCCATTTTTTAGCATTGTGTTGTTTGCAATTGTGCGCTGTTGCGCACCGTGGTTGAGAACCATTTTGCTATTTGCATCTGTGCGCAGTTGTGCACCATGATTGAGAATCGTTTTGCTATTCGCATCTGTGCGCGGTTGCGCACTATGATTGAAAGCCATTTTGTTATTCGCAACTGTGCGCTGTTGCGCACCATGACTGAGGGTCATTTTCTGTTGTTCGTAACTGTGCGCTGTTGCGCATCATGAGTGATGATCATATATGACCACTATGTTACCGCGCGTTCATTGAACGTGCGTCCCGCGTTCAATTTTTGAACGCAGTGAACGCGCGTTCACTGAACGCCCCTGAACGCAGTTGACGCGTTTGCGCAGGGGTCTGTCGGGGCGGGGGGGGTGCCTCTGAGGCCCGTGGAGCATCCCCGGTGTTCAGGGGAGCCTGCTGGGAGGTTGTAGTCCCGAAAAAAAAAAAAAAAAAAAAAAAAAAGGCCCGCGTTTCGTCATGGGGCGGTATATAGCGGGGGGAGCGTTCGCACGCGACACTGTCGTGCAGTATGCGTCAAGCGTTCCCCACGTTTACTTCGACAAGTGCTGCACACCCACTTCGTCAAGCGTTCATGCACGCGCGCACGCGCGCACGCGCGCACGAGAGAGAGAGAGAGAGAGAGAGAGAGAGAGAGAGAGAGAGAGAGAGA